CGCAACGCCATCGCTTATTAGAGAATTAGCCAAACGGCAACATCTGACGCTTCAATAGATGCCGTTCACGTCACGCTCATAATTCCATGGTAACAGGTGGCGCGGCTCCAGCCATCCACACGCTTACATGCGCATGTGCACACGCTTACATCTGCACACAGTGTCGCAACGGCATCTGCAGGCGTATACTCTCTCACACACACACACACACACACACACACACACACACACACACAATGATAATAACCTCTTAATCCGTTGCAACGTCAGGCGTATTTTCCACTGATCACCCTCTGCTTATCAGTGAGACCATCAAGCGCTCTCCAGATGTCAGCTGCTTCACACAACATCTGTCCTTGACCTTGGCAACGGAGACTCACCAGAGAACCTGTCTGTCGATCACAGCCTTCTGTTTAAGGCCATTATGATGTGTGTGTGTGTGTGTGTGTGTGTGTGTGTGTGTTGCATAAATGTGACTGTGCGGTTGGGGAAGGGGGGGGGAGCGTCGCTGTCATCTGCGACCTGCCCTGCATCAGTACACAGTTTGTTGTTGCCAGTGTGTGCACCTGTTTGTAATCGAGTGCATCTGCTGGACAAGGTTCAGTGACCTGCGGTGCAGCAGCACGTCACAAATTGTGCCGATTAGATTAACAACCCAGACGACTCCGCGTGCGGCGCGATGAGCGAACACGCCGTAGAGTACGCTGCATTTGTGCTTGTCAATCTTCACCAGAAGGAGGCAGTCAGGATTTGACCCTGTATATTTCTGATTCCCACCAAATCCCCAGTTTCCCTTCATTTCTTAAATCTGCACCTCAGCAAAAAAAAGACGAGCTCTTCTTCATCCTCTTATATCTGAATCTACGTTTTAATTAACACCTTTCATCAGGGGCCCTGAACACTGGGTTAATTGCGCTTCTCATGACCAAATCGGCGCAAATTCACGTTCTCTCTGTTCCGTGGCGAGGAACGCTGTTGTAATTACCCAGACAACCTCTTAAGTGGCGGAGCAACCACGGAGACCAGGTGACCATATGCTCAGCGGTCCCAGCTTATCTCACAGTCACACATCAGCTCACAGGTGGAGAAGAAGATTAACACTGACATGGATTTTAAAACGACGGTGAAAAGAGGGAAAAATCGGGGGGAAATGGACGGAAAGTGAAAAATGCGACGGTGATGTTAAACACCGAAGAAATCAAGTTCCATTTTCCAGTGAAACTACGATCACAAACCCACACAAACAAGCGCTCCCCCACATCTCCCAGTAAAATGACATTTCCCTGTCCGGTCCACCCACTGGCAGGTTTCCATCCCACTCACTCGCACTCGGCAACGAACAGCAGAGCGGAGAGAAGAGACAACCAGAGGGCGATGGGCGGTGTTGGAAAATGGATAGGCTTCTCAACAATACACAGGAATACACACACACACACACACACACACACACACACACATGCATGTCTACACACAACCACCAGTTTATTCATTGTGCCATTAAGTCTCAGTACATGTCTGCAGACTGCAGCCGAGCAGTGACAGATAATGAATCAACGGCTGTGTGCAGTTTGACAATACATGACAGTGTGTGTGTGTGTGTGTGTGTGTGTGTGTGTGTGTGTGTGTGTGTGTGTGTTTCAGCATCAGTGTGTTGTTAGCCACACTTGCAGCATGGCGGTCTGTCACTCCACCACTCTGGTCCGTATCTGAACAGGATGGATTCGATGGATCGCTGAACGTTCATGGTCCACCCCCCCACCCCCCACCCCCGGCAGCATGTAATTATACAGGTGAACCTTTAGGACTCAGTCAGAGGCAAACCTATTTTGGGTCTTAATCAGGAGCCATTGTGTGGTGGGATAAGTATAAGTTTATAAGCCCTAGGTGCAACACGGAGGGAGAACAGCTAAACAGAGGCAGGCTACTGTCCCACAGCAGAGATGGGAGAAATTCAGACACAATCCTGCTTGAATCGTAAAGTGTAAATTGCTGTATCATTCCCAGTCTGCACTCAGTCTCTTTAATGTCTGAACCCAGAGTTGGAAACAGTTTTTTGGATTTCTCATTTTGTTGTGACAGTTTTCGTGTGAAGATGTCCGTTCGCTTCAGCAGATGCTGAGTCAGCTGACGACACTGTTCTGCACCTGAACCTGGGATAAGGAGTAAGAGAGAAGTGCACACACACACACATGCACACTTACTTTTTCCATCTCGGCTGACGGGCCACGAGAGCCGCCTCAAACTAGAATTTAGCAGCACTTAGAGCTCCTGCACTTAATTAGAGCCCTTAATAACCACACATTTTAAATACACACACACACACACACACTGAAATCCCAGTCTCACTTAACTGCCTTTCCTAGTCCACCTCTCCTAATCCCTCTGACACCTAAAGGTCCCAAATTTCTCCTACCCTGGTTCTTCCACGCTTCCCTGAACACACCTGCATCAATACTGTACAGACACACACACACACACACACACACACACACACACACACACACACACACACACACCAGATTGTTCTTCCATCTTCTTGTCCCATTTCCTGTCTTCCTTCCTCTGATTCACACATAGATCCATTCTCTCTCTCTCTCTCTCTCTCTCGCTCTCTCACACACACACACACACACACACACACACACTAACTCCCACAGCCACATTGTGAGGTCTTCTCCCCCGGGAGCATTATATCACACCTGGGTATTTCACACTCCACGGAGCTCCACACTCATTAAATCACTCAATTCCCATGAAGTCAGGAGAAGATATGCTGCCGCGCATCACGCCGGACTTTTATTTCTAAATGGGGAAGTGGTGATGGAGTTTATGGGTGCGCATGATGTGTGGGTTTAACAGCGCACGGGGATAAGACAAGGTCCAGAGGGGCGCGTAAATGGTTATTGTATAGGTTTGATTCTATATTATCCTGCTCGTTATTTCTTTGTCTACAAAACTTACTTGTGGTGTACCTCAAGGTTCGATTTTGGGGCCCATATTTTTTTCTCATTTTACATCCTCAGTTACATCTCTGTCCACCCAACTGACTCTTGTTGTTTTGTTGCCGTAAAGGAGTGCAACTTTCTCCGTCTTAACAAGGACAAGACTGCGATGAATGTATTATAACCCAGCCTAATTCAAATCTCAGTTTCGGCAACCAATTACACGGGTTTATTCATGGTTGTATTTATCCGTTGAGGAGTATCTCGAATCAATCGAATCACCTCTGTCTGACATTAACCCGGGTGAAAGTTCTTCATCCTGTCTAGATTACTGTAATTTGAACTTTATGATGAAAAAGCATTACCCCCAATATTAGTTTTCAGAATACAGCTCAACATCTTTAAGTTCATGACTGATAATGCGTCAAAACGGATCGAGTCTGAGCTATACATCTGACCTACTAAGTGCATGTGAACCGAGGGAGCACACTGAGGTTGGCAGACAAAGCTCCCAGGAGTACGTCTCTATATTTGCAGCCCGGGGATGACTGTGCATTTGCCGAAGTGAATTAGTGAAAAACAAACCGGTTTTAACTGCCTTGACTTTATGTCACCTGGAAAATATTGTGTTGTTGTTGCTGTGTTTGTGTTTGTGAGAGAGAGCAGTGTCGGTCTGTTCAACTTCAAGATATCTGAACTTCCCCTCCTTCCTCACCTCTATCTCTCCCCCTCCTTCCTCACCTCCCTGGCCTTCAACTCTAATGCAGCAACCCCCCCCCCCCCCAACAAATGTCACTTTCTAATTGGCCCAGCATTAGCGTGGCAGGAGCACATCGCTGTTTGGACAGCTGTTAATCTAAAGAGAGGTTGTTTGGTTGGTGGCAGTGAGATTGTGCCCGAGACGGTGGCGGGGAGGGGGGGGGGTGACAATCTGGAACAGCACTGAGAATGACGCAATGAGGGGGAAAGAGTTAGGGTGGGGGGGTGATGAGTTTAAGTCTGGTGCAAAATCACCACTCACGCCCCCGTCACGCCCGTCCGTCTGACATGATGTAGAACCAATGCAAAGATCCGTACGTCTCCGTACATCAGTGTCTCACCCTCTGCATCACTGTGTAGTATGGACTGTTAATGTACAAGCGCACACCCTGCAGTTTCATTCAAAGTCTCTACTCCGAAGCCTCAGCATCACGCCACCCCCCCCCCCCCCCCCCCCCCCCCCCCCCCTTTCCTCCCCCCTCTCTCTCCTGCTCCATCTCCCCCCCTTCTTTTTCTTTCACACACACACACACACACACAATGAAGCACAGCGCTCGGGGAACCAATCACCATCCCCTGTTTTCAGGTCCTGTTTGTGAATGGGATTTTTTACGGGAGAGGAGGAGGAGGGGGAGGGGGAGGAGGAGGCAGGCGCCGCTGCGTTTGTAGACATGCAGCTGCTACGGGGAGGGGGGG